GCACCGACTTCTGGAAGCTCCTCCACAGCTCCTCCCAGATCGACCCTGAGACAGGCGCGCGCGCGGCGTGGCTGGGCTCATCTCTCTCTCTCTCTCGCTCTCTCGCGCTCTCTCGCGGGGAGGTGCGGGAGAGGGGTATGGCGGGAAGGTGGACGCGAGGGAGAGAGGCCATAAGAGGCAAGTGTTCTCGGCCCGAGGCTGAGAAAGGGATGTAGGATAAAGACGTTCTTGTTTCCTAGATTCGGTGACATTGCTTTTATCGCACGAGCCCTCCGCAGGCTCGCCGCCGCACTCTGATGGCGCACCAGAAGTCTTCCAGTAACTAGGTGCGCACACCTGAGAGGCATGGGAGACACATTCCTCGAGACCTGGACCGACTCCTCTTCTGCAGGAGGCAGCTGCATTAGCGGAATGCACGACAGTGGTGCGTGGTCTGGCTGAGCGGTTGGCGCATGCATGATGTGAGCGCACAAGAAAGTGTCCAGCTGAATAGTCTAGACAGATTTCAGGACGTAGTGCGAAACGAAAAGAACGAGAGGGAGAGATGGGGCAGATCATGAGCCGACAGCTAGCACATCCTGAGCGACCCCCAGATTTGTCGGTGTGGGCTTCCAGAAGGGCCATGGGTGCATGTCGTTGGAGGTCAGGAGGGAAACAACACAAAGACACAATTAATCGTCGATCCCCAGGAAGACATGGGAAAATACTGGAAGTGGGGGGGGGGGGTACAAAAGCCCAGGAAATATGAGACAATATGGGGAAGGGAATCCTGTCACTTGTGTGTGTGTGTGTGTGTGTTTCTTTGTGTGCCCCAGGGCCCCTTCAGGAGGGGGGTGCCCCCGCTCGAGCTGGGGCCCCCCCTCCGTGTGTGTCTGGCGGCCCGCGCCCATGCGCGATAAAGCGCAGCCTCGCATCGCGAGGCGTGCGGGTCAGCCCCACGGCACGGGTGTGCGAGAGTCGGGAGTGGACAGAACCCCCAACAGTGACACGTCGATTAGTGAATTGCCGTTTTCGGTTCTCGAGAGGGCGCCGTGGCCGTTATTTCCCAGGCTTGCGCACCCCAGGTTTGGGCCTCAGGTCGTTTTCACTAAACCACGTTTTACCAAAGGGAGGTCTGTCCATCCCCGAGAGAGGGAGCCCAGGGAGGGGCAAAAGGACGTACACGTACACGAATCCACGCTGGTTTCGAGAGTACGCGTTGCGCAAATGTGCGTAGAACGCGGCCGGTCTCGCGGGTCGAGGGGCCGTGTTCATGTACATAGCTGGGCGCGTGCGTCCTTTGTGGGCTCCCTAAGGGAGGGACGGGGGGGAATGAGGGAGGGCGGGAGGGACTGACGGACATTCAGCGGGACGCCGGCATTCAGGAGGGAAAACAAGGCACAGACACAATTCTTCGACGCGGAGATCCCCAACAGTGACACGCCAGTGAGTGGATTGTCCGTTTTCGGTTCTCGAGATGGCGCCGTGGCCGTTCTGTTCCAGGCCTGCGCCCGCCAGGTTTGGGCCTCCGGTCGTTCTCACTAAGCCACGTTTTACCAAAGGGGGGGGTCTGTCCATCCCCGAGGGAGCCCAGTGTGAGGGACGGGGGGAACGGAGGGAGGGCGGGAGGGGCTGACGGACATCTAGCGGGCGAACGTCGGCATTCAGGAGGGAAAAAAAGACACAGGCACGATTTTTCGACGCGGAGATCCCCACATGTGCATCTCACAGGGATGGCAAAAGTTTCGATAGATGACATTGTCCTTGTCAGCATCCGAGTGCCAGCGGATCCACGTGGAAGACGAGGAGTAGTTGCTTCCTCCTTCCGTCCTCCTCCTCCTCCTCCTCCTCCTCCTTGTCCTCCTCCTCTTTCTCCTCCTTTCCCTGTGAACACCTGTCAGGAACATTTATCCGTGAAGACGAGAAGGGCGGGAGGGATTGGCCGACATTTAGCGGGCGAACGTCGAAATTCAGGAGGGAAGCAAAAACACAGACACAAATAATCGTCGGCTTCAAAGAGAAAATATGGGAAACTATGGGAAGTCGGGGGGAAGACGAACATCAATAACATATGATAAGATTTGGGGGATCGTGTGGGTATTTCTTTATGTGTCCCTGGACACCTTTAGGTATGCGCAAGCTTTTGTCCGCCGTCGGGGGCGCCTGGGCCTGTGCCCGGGCGGCCGAGGAGTTGATACCCCCACGGTGGCAGTTGGAGGCAGAAATTTCCCAGCCGTCCTGGGACAGGCGTCCTCGCCGGCGGCAGAAGTGCATGCCATACCGATTCGGGGCTCAAGAGACGGGGGTCTACAGTGGAGACCCATGCCAAGAAACGCCCTGCTTGCCTGGGTTTCTTGGGCTTCGATGGTTCTGCTGTGGAAAGCGTGACGTTCCCACACCAACAGTCACTGGACGTCCTGGGGTCTCAGGGTTGGGTTTCTTGTGGAAGGTTTCTTGTGGTCGGGCCTCTACTGTACACCGATTCGGGCCTCAAGAGACGGAGGTCTATGCAGACGGGGGTCAGTCAGAGCGCCGGGTCTTGCAGGATCCTGCAGAACCAGGGTTGCATGGACCCGGGCTTGGGTGCAGGATCCTGCAGGATCCTGCAGGACCTCGCAGAATCCTGCAAGGCCTGACTGACTCGCGTCTGGATTGACCCGGGTCAGAAGGTGCCCGACCGATCTCCGCCGCTGAGATCTGGCGGTCGATGGTGCAGGCCAGGGACGTACCCCGCGCCAGCCCTGACCACCACTGCTCACAGGCTGCCGGCGCTGGGCACAAGTTGTCCTCGCAACGGAACGCCTCGCTGCGACTGCCTTCCGTTCCCGCCCGCCCTGGTCCCAGCAGTGTGGCTGGCGCCATCTCGGCTCCCAAGAGCATTGCGCTGGCGCTGGCCCCCAGGTGGACCCATCTCGTGGCAGCATTGGGGCAGTTTGGGGGGCCATCACGGGGCCTCTCTGGGGGCATCTTGGGGCCTCTGGGGCCACATTGGGCGATCTTGGGGCCGTCGTGGAGCTATCTTGAGGCCCCTGGGGCCCAGCTCGAGGGCATCTTGGCCCTGCTGGGCTGTCCTGGACGAGCTGGGCTGCATAAGATTGGAACCTTTGGGGGGCCACACCGGGGCCTTTTTTGGCAAGCTTGGGGGCTACAGGGACCGCTGCGAAGCGATATCAGGATATCAGGACATCTTGGAAGCAAAACGTGGGACAACCAAAAAAGACATGCACGGCCCCTTCAGGCGGTCCTTGCCACTGTGTCGCCTGCCGGCAGCTCCCAGCATGCAGGCAGCCGAGGCCTCACAGGCAAGGCCTGGCGACGGGCCCTGAGCACACGATTGCGGCAAGGCTGTATGGCTCCTCTGCACGGCCTAAGTCCTCAGGCAGTGTGACAGAGCACCTGCACGCTCATAGTGCGCGCACCCGAGCACACAAAGCATGACGTTTCAAGGTTGCTTGCCCGCTAAAATTGGAACGATACAGAGAAGATTAGCATGGCCCCTGCGCAAGGATGACACGCACAAATCGAGAAGTGTATACAATTTGTTTTTTTTTTAAAAAAAGGTTGCTTGCCCGCTCGGGGGCGTCTTGAGGCCCTCCTGGGCTGTGTGTAGTGGAACGAATTATGACGTAAACATAGAAACTCTGAGGTCCGCTCGGTCTTCTCGGGTCCGCGCTGGACCCACCTGGCGGCGCCTCCGGCGCCGCCCCTGGCGCGCTCCGCGCGCCTGGAAGGGGGGTCCAGCGCCGATCCGAGAAATCCGCGCGGACCGAGTTTTCATGCTTATGTCATTCTTCGTTCCCGTAGCCTTAGGTAAGTCTTTCCATGGCTGTTCCTCTAGCCTCCTCGTGCACGCAGGCGCTTCTGATGCCAAAAATGAGGCTTCGCTCCTTGTTTCGCGTCGTTTATTTAAGCGGCTCGACTGTAGACTGTAGAGTGACCTGTAAGAGAATCCCGTCGAGCTTCTGTTGTCGCTGCTGCGTCCCCCCCCCCGGGAGGACGGCAGGAAGAAGACAGAGCTGAAGAGCGAATAGACGGCGACACCAACACCTCCCGAACAACCCAATACAGCATTCCAGCATGACCCCTCAGAGCCTATCGCGCACAGAGGAGGGTCAGCTGGGCATATACGCCTACATGTGTAAATGGATACGCACACAAGTACATCGTTGTGCTTGTTCAAGCACATAGACTAGCCAGGGTGGAATTAATCAGCACGTCACTAGCAATCGACGTTGTGCAATTCAGGTGGTGCAGTCTAGGTTGTGCAGTCTAGGGTGTGCAGACTCTGTGGAACAGCCTTCGTGATGCAGTCTGAGAGGCGCAATTGGTTTTAACAGACGAGCTGGCACATCCTATGCTCTTGCTAACATCCCACCCACCCACCCGCAATTTGGCTCGCAAAACCGATGCGGTGGCGATAGCGATGAGTGCTTGGCGTTAGCTGGTCCATCTCTGCGGCCGCGCCAACCCAAGCGCGCGTGCAGTGGCCAGCGAGTTTGGCGCGACCGACGCGGCCGCGGTGGCACTGACCGCTGGGCACATCCCAGCTGGCACTTCACTGCGAGTCGGCGACTTAGGCTGGCACAGCGGTAGACACGATTACGAGAGTAGCCATGTTGGTGACGATGTTGACAACGACGACGGCGCGGCCAGTGCGGGCGCCGATGTTGATCACGCCGTCGACGATGACGGCGTTTTCGCGTCGATGATGAAAGTTTTGGAAAAAGTTCGACATGCGCGCGCGGCCGACGCGCAAGAGTGTCCCGCATGGTTTGATGTGACACGGATCGTGCCCCCCCCCCCCCGAGGACGCCCGCAAGGGCGTGCGAATGATGTCGGCATGCGGCGTCAGGGGTCCGGCAGAATTCCAAAATCATGTTGAACAACCAGTTGTTTTCTCAAGAATGCGCAAAAGCGCGAGCGCGCGCTTTTTTGAACACTGATGTGCGAAACCATGTGTTGTTGTATGCGTGTTAGACACCCGTTTTTGAAACCCATCCGAAACCAAACGTTTTTGAGGGATTCCGGCAAGCGCGCGTGACGACGCGCGTGCGCGCACTTCCTTCCAGTTGTCG